CCCCCCCCCACCATCACAGACAGAGCTTGATTTGGGCCCAGGGGTCCCTTTTTGCTCCCTTTTATTACAAATCCATATCTGGGAGGGTTCCAGGGGGGTCTCGGGGTAGAACTCCCCCGCCAGCAGCCCCAGAACCCCCCGGACACCCCAAATTCCACATTTTGGGGGGGGTCTTAGGGGTAGAACCCCCTCACCAGCAGCCCCAGGACACCCTGGACGTCCCCCAATTCCACATCTGGGGGGTCCCATGGGAGTCTCAGGGGTAGAACCCCCCCACCAGAAGCCCCAGGACCCCCCGGACGCCCCCAATTCCACATCTGGGAGGTTCTCAGGGGTAGAACCTGCCCGCCAGCATCCCCAGGACCCCCCGGACGCCCCCAATTCCCCGTCTGGGGGGGCTCTCAGGGGTAGAACCTGCCGGCCAGCAGCCCCAGGCGCTGGATGTTCTTGTGCAGGACGCTGTGCAGCACGGCCAGGTGCTTGCCCACGTCGCCGTCGCGGGAGAAGTCCCTGCGGAAGGTGCCGCGCTGGGGCTGGAAGGTGAACTTCTGGGGCAGGGGGCTGTTCTCGCGCAGGAAGTCCCAGACCAGCAGCAGCAGCAGGTGCAGCTCGAAGGGCGCCAGCTGCGGGAACAGCTCGTGCATGTTGCCCAGCACGGGGGGCAGCAGCGACCCCTCGGCCAGCAGCGCCACGAGGGCGCAGGAGGCCTGCAGGTGCCAGGGCGAGGCGGTGGTGCGGGGGTCCCGGCAGGCGTCCCAGTGGGCCACCAGCGCCGCCAGCAGCCCCCGCAGCAGCCCCGAGCAGTAGCAGAGGGCCGGGCGGCCCGCGGCCACCACGCGCAGCAGCGGGAAGAGCAGCGGCTGCGCGCGGAAGCGGCGGCAGATGCGCAGGTCCCGCTCCACGGTGCCGCGGGCCTGCTCCTCGGGGGGCCAGGCCAGGTCGCCGCCGGCGGCCTCCGGGCACACCGACTCCACCAGCGCCGCCGCCACGGCCTTGGCGGCCTCGGGGCTGACGCCGGGGTCGGGCTCCCCCGGGCGGGAGCCCCGGCAGCAGCGCAGCAGGAGGCTCAGGAAGGCGTGGGTGTTGCGGGCGAACTCCTCGGGGTCGCGGCGCCCGGCGCCCGCCGCCGGCTTCAGCCCGCGCCCGATGACGCCGGCGTGGAACACCGACCACACGCCGCCCGCCGAGTTCACCGCGGCGCTGAAGCGCCGGTTGGTGTCCAGCAGGGACACGCCGGCGCCGCCGGGCTCCCCGGGCGGCGGCGGGGGGTCCTCGGCGCCGGGCCGGGGCTCGGCGGTGCCCCCGAAGAGCTCGGCGTTGCGGCCGCGCAGGGCCCCCTCCACCAGCTGCGCCAGCACGGCCTTGGCGGCGGCGCCGGACACGGCGCTGAGCCGGGCCAGCAGCCGGGCCGC